AGTCTTTTATTTGCCATGGTAAACAGATTTTTGTAATTTTTGGCCTAATAACTTAAAGAGCAGAGTAATTTTCAAACTCAATTTATTCGAAAACCATTGGAAATATCGATTTGGACAAAGATAATATTTTTTACGTAAAATTGTTAAGATTTTATAAATCTGTAGAGAAAATTGTAAAAAAAATTGAAATAAATAAAATTACGGGCCAAAACCCCCTCCACCAACCTAAATGGGATGCATTTGATTTGCATGTCGAAAAACGGAGTAGCCCCATGTTATTTAACGTAAAAAGTTATGTAAGACCCATAATTTTTTTTCTATTTATTTGCGACCGTTTTGTCAATAACAGAAAAAAAAACAGTTTTGTTTGAGCCCTTTTAGGGGCATATAACTTCCTAACGGTGCGTTTTAGGGCACATGTTAATAGGAACTTTTTGGCTTATTTTAATGAGTTATAAACGCAGCAGAAGTTTGGAACCCTATTTTAGTAACACCCTGTATGTACGACTATATTTTAATTCTACACTTGTCAAAGTTCACCCACCCCTTCGTTTTCGAGAAAAAAGGCAAACACTTTTAAATTGTTTTAAAATTATTAGTAGGAGCTGTTCCCTTACTAATTCTTTCACATACATTGTAAAAAAATTGTATACTTACATGTGTCTGTGTTAACCTTTATGAAGGCAGTAAATACAACAAAAATAATATTTATTGAAATCAAGGATATAATAACCCTGGGTTGTACTTTAAATCTATGTCCGAAAGTTGTCGCTAGTAACATAGTCGCTATAGAGGGTAGAGTTTGGAATATCAGACTTCCTGACACGAAATATTTTTCAAGGGTCGTCTTATTATTCAGATCTACCGTGTCCTTTGCAGGGTCTCTAAATTTATACATCCAGTACTACAAAAAATAGAGAGTGAATCAATATTTTTCCAGTGATTCTAATGTCTCATTATAAAAAAATAACCACTTTTATACATCCGATACCGTAAAAAATAGATAGGTACTTTCAATTAGCAATAGATTTTACCCTTGGGGTAAAATTATTCTTAGCAAAGTTGAGCTATATGGGAGTAACTCAGTTTTTCAAATTTAGGCAAGTAAGACATAATTCCTTATTTATTTATTTATTTTGAATGAGAGACAAACAGGTTACAGGCAACCTATTATACATATATGCTCATATAAATCTTTTAACACATATTTAACTACTAATTTCTAAATAAAACCGCAGCAAAGGAGCTGGGTAATTAGAACCAGAACAATCAATTTCAAGCAAAGTCTATATTGCGGATTAAATTTTATTGATGAGGTATCAAAAATGTCTGTAGATATCCGATGTTGGTGTTTATTGAAAATATTACACAATCACTTATCAAAGTACTAGAACTGACGAAAATTTTTTTTTAGGTGTATTTACATTTATCTGTGATAATTGATAAAGGTTGCCTCCGCTCAGCAGTTTATGTGAAAATGTTAATTAATTTGCATCTAATTATTCTATTTTCCAACTTGCAGATCCTAAAGTGTTTACGCAATGACTCATAGGAAGCAAACCCGGGACTAACAATTATACATCCACATTCTAAATGACTACGAATGAGGGTATAAAATAAATATAAAATAGAATTAAGGTTCCTAAAATTACCTGTTACTCTTTTAATGAAACCCAAGGGTTTATATGAATCATTAGTTAATTCTTTCACATTGTTTTTAAAATTCAAATTAGGTTGATTCCTAGATTTTTGGAATAATAAATTCTACACCGAATATTATTATTCATTGTATAAACATAATGTTCAGGCGTACGTGCTTTACTAAACGTCATGACTACATTTATCTAAATTGAAGGGCAATTTGTTTTCTACAGGCCAATCATAAATTAGATTTAGGTATATCATTTTATATTTGTAAAAATCATTGACATACATTGGCAGGCTGATGTTGTACTTGTTGCTAAATCATTTATAAAAATTAAAAACGTAATGGTCCCAAATTTGTACCTTGTGGGACGCCAGAATAGGCCAGATATATCTCAGAATTAGTACTCTAATAACAAAAAAATTGTCTTCGTTTCCGTAAATATGTTGAGAAGAAAATTATTAGATGCTCAAATCAAGTGCATGTAATTTGGAAAGTAGTATGTCATGATTTACCCGATCAAAAGCAAAGTCATCCTTTTTCCCTCACTGAAAGTTAGGTATACTAATTTTATTAACAAAAGTAGCTAAATCAGTTTCTACTGAACTGGAACGGAAAAAAAACATGTTGAATGACAATCAGAATTATTGTAACATTACATGTGTATCTTTTCATAAATGACAAATTCAAAAAATTTTGCTATACAGTTTAAGCCAGTAATGGGTCTCTAATTTTTTACCAAATTCTTATCATCTTTTTTGTGTATAAGCGTTATCCTAGCCATTTTAGAATATTTTGGTTATGTATCACTGTTTAACGATTTATGAAAAATTATTAGTAATGTATATAAAAGAATATCTTATCTTATCACAATTGTCTCTTTTTCTATATAGAGATATCGAATTTTTAACACTTGTATTAAGTTTTGCTACCATACACACATTGTATTAAAATAAAGATTATAAGTACTCATAATTTTAACAGATTATTTCACGCAGCACTATAAATAAATAGTGATAAGAGAAAATCGGCATTTTATTTTTGTGGTTTGAGAAATCAATTGGAGCAAACAAAATATAGGATTTAGATGAAATTCAAAGGAGAATCTATGTGGCCACTTTTACTATTTTTGCTAATTATAATAACCAACATATCAACATATCCATATATGGCCTTAAACTAAAAAGTTGAAAAAATTAGTCCAATTAATTAATGTACAGGGTGTTTTTACGATGACTTTTCAAAAATTGTTAAGAGTAAAGTACCTTTGTTTTTAAAAATATCAAAAATATTTACTTAAGAAAGTTATTGAGAATTAAAAGTTATGACAAATTGTCAATTTTCCATTTGATTGGTCAACTTTGTTTTTTTTTTACTTTCAAGAAGACGACACCCAACGCATTCAACGCGAATCATTCGAGAATGGCTAGATGGTCAATTTCCTGGGGGGTGGATTGGGCGAAATGGCCCAATTCCTTGACCTCCTAGAAGTCCTGATTTAACTCTAATGGACTTTTATATATGGAGTTATCTCAAGCAGAAAGTCTATGGGTCCTCGTTAAATAACGATTTATTTGAATTGAAACAAAGAATAAAAGATACAATTAATGCCATCCCCATTCAGAAAATCCAAAACGCCTACACAGAATTTACCAAGCGCGCTGAGCGATGTGTAATTGTTAGAAGCAACACGTTTAAATAACCATTATATTATTTATTTATTTATGTTTATTATATTAGTTTCGTTTTTTTTTTCTAATATATAATTAGGAATTTGTACTTTGTGCTTGTGAAAAATATAAAAGGCAAAGTTGGCCAATGAAAGTGAAAATTGATAATCTGTCATAACTTTGAGTTCTCAATAACTTTCATAAGTAAATATTTTTGATATTTTTAAAAACAAAGGTACTTTACTCTCGACAATTTTTGAAAATTTGTCGTAAAAACACCATGTGCATTAAATTAATTAGACTAATTTTTTTAACTTCCTAATTTAAGGACAAGCAGAGATGATGCCCAGCAGCTCAAATTTCAACTCGAAAAATTTTTGTCATTTACACCCCACGTGCACTCAATCCGTGGACACACTGTATATACGAGTATATATAAAAAATGAAATTGAAATTGTCGATTTCAACTTTATATTTATGGTAGTATTCTATAACATGTTCCAGCGACTGTAAGCGATGGTTTTTAAGAATTTTTTAATAAATGTAATCAACAATATTGCAAAAAGTATTATTCAGATTTACTTAAAACCTCAGAAAAGCAAATATAAATATTTCTGTAAACGTTATGCATATAACTATAAATTTAGAGTTCAGTAAGAAAACTACAGCATACTCGAGTTACATTTCATTTTATATTGTATATTTGGTCAAAGCGTAATACCTAATATGATAATACTAACAACATAACAAACATAATATCAATCATTTATAAGTTTAAAATAGTACTTAAATTAATACCAATATAATTATATCTGCAACTGAATGTAAAATTGTATAGATTACATAGATAATAATCGCATAAATCAAATATACCTGGTGTTTCAGGAGGAATAGTCAATACTTTGGTATGTTATAATATCGTTTATTTTTAACGAAAAAGTTCATATGAATGTGTGTCCAAATCACAATGGTTACTGGCCATTTATATTTGTTAGATTTTTGCAAGCATTTTGCCAATTATGTTAAATTTTCAATTATGATAGGTTGGTTTAGACAAATCTCCCAGACAAAATTTTTTGTTGCATTTTTATAACCCATATTTTAGATGATCTAAAAATATTCAAATTTCTTTCATACACAGTTTTTGACCGTTTTAGATGTCTAATAAATGTTATTAGTGCGATGTGATTATTAGCCTAGCTATAAATAGGTTACTTATGTATTTATTAAGTCAATAATTAGGTAACATAAAAGAAATTCTGCATTCGAGTTATTTTATTTATTAAATTATCTATAAGTATATAAGTAATTATTTAGAACTTACATCGTTAGCTGTCATGAAGAAAGTCAAAGGAAGCGCATTGAGCGCACCAAATAGTAAACTTAAAGTGTGTACCATGTACAAAGTATCCTTGGGCTTGTGTTTGTCTTTACTTAACTTATCCACCAAACCATCAGGTTTCGTTATGGAGATCAAGGATACTGAAAATATTATTTAGGATTAAATCAACAAGAAGTTTTTCAGATTTTGATGTTACCTCTCCTCAGAACATCGGACATCTCTTGCAAGTTATCCATCTTTACTGGTGTTCAGCTTCGCAGTAATAGCGGAGCTTGAAATAAAAACTGTATATATAAGATAATGCGCGATACTTAAAATCCTATTGTGAAGTGGGTGCTTTTTGAAACAATGTTATATGCGCAATTTACGTTACAATCCGTAATTACCCATGAATTACATGATTATAAATTTTGATTACAAAAGATATACCGTCAAACGGTGTGAAATCGATCAAAAAATTACGTTATTTTTTTTTCAAATAATTAAAAAACGAACAGTTGCATTTTGATGGAATTTAAAACATACCTTCGTAAATCATTAAGCTGTTCACCGCTCACCGAAGCAAGGCCGTAGGCACGGTAGTTTTTTTAATTTTTGGTTAAAGAGTAATCGACTTCACCCTGAACCCCGAGGTATAAAACTACAATTTTCTCACTTTTGAACCGTTTAGGGTGAAGTCGATCAGTAAAAAATAGAAAACATATACCTATTAAACATTTGCAACAAGTTTGAGACTAAATTTTGCAATAAAACGCAATAAAAAGTGAAAATAAACGTTTGCTGCTTTACACAGCCGATTATTTCGATATCATATAGAGATATAAAAAGTACACTTGAGTGAAGTTAGCCATAAAAGTTATCCATAAAATATATAAATTCGCAGACCAAATTCTGCACACAAATAGATAATTTTATCAGTTTAGGACAATAAAGGGCACATCTCTGGAACATCCAAAAAACAATTGTGTTCAAAAACTACAGGGTGTGCAGCTTCTCCGTCCATTATCATATTGAAATACTCGTAATAAAAGTTGTACAGAAGCATTCGCATCCGGACAAGCAATTTTAATGACAGGATTACAGAAGATATATCGTTTGATAACCCTGAACACATACTTTTCGAAAAAATTACAAGGTGGACCCTCAATAGATTTAATTAAAAAAGGTTTTTACTATCACCTCCTATCCCGGACAAGCCGATTTAAGTACCTAGGATGACAGAAGGCACTTCATTTGATAACCTGGGACCCATATTTTTCGAAAAAAGTACATGGTGGATCATCCAAAAAGTTATCCATAAATTTGTGTTCCTACACGGTATAACAAAATAATGTCTTGTGAAACTATCGATCCCGGACAAGTCGATTTAAGGGCCTAGGATGACAGAGGATACTTCATTTGATAATCCTGGACCCATATTTTTCGAAAAATGTACATGGTGGATCATCCAAAATGTTATCCATAAATTTGCGTTCCTACACGGTATAACAAAATAATTTCTAGTGCCACTATCGATCCCGGACAAGTCAAATTTAGGGCCTAGGGCCTAGGATGACAGAAGATACTTCATTTGATAACCCTGGACCCATATTTTTCGAAAAAAATACATGATGGACCATCCAAAAAGTTATCCATAAATTTGCGTTCCTACACGGTATAACAAAATAATTTCTAGTGCCACTATCGATCCCGGACAAGTCAAATTAAGGGCTTAGGATGACAGAAGACACTTCATTTGATAACCCTGGACACATATTTTTCGAAAAAAATACAGGGTGGACCATCCCAAAAGTTATCCATAAATTTTCATTCCTACACAGTATAACAAAATATACCGTGTGAACATGTGGCGGCCCGAAGATATGTGAAATTGTACCCAACGAGATTACCTAATTAAAAACCATTCAGAAATCTTTACAATCGCTTAGGAGGATCTGGATCTTTTCTACCAAAAAGTAACCATGGTACTTCAAAATCTATCGGTCGATGAAGAAGAGAAAATTTTACTACTCGTACTCGTCGGTTAAGTGCAGGGGTAAGCCAATCGTCCATTTGTAGAATTTTGAAAAAAGAATTGCTCCATCCATGTCATTATACTCCGGTTCAGCAGTTATTGCCTCAAGATTTATCAGCTCGCCTACAATTTGCTCGGTTTATACAAAATAAGCAAACGGAAAACCCAGATTTCCTCAATAAGATTTTATTTACTGATGAGGCGACATTTACTAGACGAGGAGTTTTCAATTGGAAGAACAATCATTCCGCATGCTGTAAAAGAAAAACATTTTCATCATGAGTTTAAGGTGAATATTTGGTGTGGTATAATTTCTGATTTTTTCATAGGACCTTTTGAATTATCACCCAATCTAACTAGACCTCATTTTTCAATCTTTCTTCAACATAATTTAAACGAGAGGGAGAGAGAGTATAAATACTTATTCTAATTCGGATACTGCAATATTGACGGAGTCATCATAATTCTTTGCGATTTAATGATCGTAGGTGTATGTTTGAATTTAACATTTTTCTTGTGTTGTTGCGGCATAAGTTTCGTCAATTTCGCCATGCTCGAGATAAACTTCCGGTAATATCCTGTTAAATCGAGAAATGATTTCACGTTGACAATATCATCTAAATATACAATGCAAATCTTATTAGTTAATCCTCTCAGAACATTATCCATAACTCTCTAGAAAGTGTAAAGTGTTCCTTTTAATCCGAAGGGCATTCGTGTGAATTCACGGTGATATTCTTCTGTAGAGAACGCTGTTTTCTTGACATTATTTTCATGTATTTGAATTCGATGGAAACCTGAATTTTAATCAAATTGGTAAAATATTGCGCTTTTCCTATTCATGAAATGATTATCGATAGTCATTTGTCAACATTTTCGTTTTTTTGATGCTAAGCTTTTTTGGGACAATCCAAACGGGACTTGAATAAGCTCATATTGAAGGTTGCCTTGACTAAATATTTTTTCTGTTTTGTATATGAAGATATCTATAACTTTCGGTGTAGACTGATTTCACATGCTTGCGCTTTTCAGGGACACTCCAACATTTTACTGTACGGTTTCAATCAGCTATCACTCGACAGTGGACTGATAGCTTTAGATCTGTCACTCATAAAAACGAACAAAAATGTAGATGTTTAAAAAATTTTGGGCGCTATCCTGACTGCGTCAGCCACGTTTTTTGAAAAACAATTTTTTAAATATAGATTTAAACATTTCTTTTTTCTAAAAGAGAACAATGTGAAGAAATGATTTGTACTAAATAAAAGATCGAAGTGTTTAAGTATTACTTGCTGCATTATCATTTAACTGTGCAAATCAGCATTTTTGCGTGTACAGTGTCGTACTGTAACTCGTTTATCAATAATAGTTCTTGTTTCTCAAACTACGTATCATAAATGGTGTAGGTATACGTCCCAGGTAACGGAAAGGAAATGGAAAGACTACGGAAAAATTTATAGATTGGCCTGAAATAACATGCAACTACCAATTTCAAAATTTCCACCAAACTGTTGTAGGATAGGGGAAATATCTAAGCATGCATTGTTATTATTATCGATCATATTAAAAATTCATTAATAATATTATTAGAATTCATTTTGTTATTTGCTTCTGTTGTTTATTCTGTATGGCATCTCGTACGCATGGAACAGGCATACTACGAATAACTTCCAGTAAACAGCTGAAATGAAAACTGGGAGGGTAAACCAACTCTACATTTTTTTTAAATATTTTTGTCTGTTAATAAATAGGTAACTTATTTGAGTTCTGACTTTGTACTACTGTTGATCTTTATATTAAAGAATCCGATATTACAAACTGATTGCTAGATGTGCTTGTCGCAGTTATAAATAAATCAATTAATATGTTGAATAATAAACATTTTAGAATTTTATTTTTGGCTTTCCTTTCACTTTTGTAAATTATGTATTTGTATAGTCTTTCCGAAGTTAATTGAACATGTATAAAAACGTCTAGCAATAAAATTTAATGACTTTCATAGGCGTCCCTAAAAAAGTTTTCTGCTAAAGGTAAAAAATTCTAATAGGTAATTTGTATATAATCTGTACAAAATTTCTATTATATGTTCATTTGGCCAACAACATTTTAATTATTTATGTCCTCAAACAATTTTATTATAGTGATGGTAAATACTAATAATATTAGTAAATCCTCCCCTCTTATTTGTCCCTTTCGCAATTGAATATGAATAATTAATAGAAGGTGCCTATAATAAATTAAAATTATCTGAATCACACCAAATTCCGCGTTACTGCACTGCACTGCTAGGCAATTTGTCATCCACTTGTCAACAACTGAGATTTATTGCCCAGTTGCTCATTGCAACTGTGTTATACGCAGTTTATCATGGCAGTAAATACAACAAAAATAGCATTTACTAAAGCCAACGATATAATAATCCTGGGACTTTAAATCTAAGTACGAAACTTGTCGATAATAACATGGTAACTATAGAGGAAATAGTTTGGACTGTCAGACTTCCTGACACGAAACATTTTCCAAGGGTTGTCTTATTATTCAGATCTACCGTTTCCTTTGTAGTATCTCTAAATTCATACATCCAGTACTATAAGAAATAGATGCATCCAGTAAGTAATATAAAAAGTAGATTTTACCCTTCGGGTAAAATTATTTCGAGCAAAATTGTTGTTGCAAAAATGAGATTTATGCATCTCAGTTTTACTAAATGTTGGTCTGTAAATTTTATCGAACGGATAAAATCGTTTAAGAAAATATGTGAGGTCATTATGAGGGTTTCTAATAATTACGTCAAGTTACAATTCATATTTTAATTCATAGGAAAAATTTACACAAGCGAGATATAATTCCTTATCTCAAGTGTGTTGTTTTTTCTATACAGAGATATCGAATTCTTAACAGTTGTATTATATAAATTTGCCATTTCATTGCAATGAAATGCATATTTTGAGTGCTCATAATTTCAACAAATTATTTGAGGCGAACCTATAGTTGGATTTGGATAAGAGAAAAAATTGGAGCAAATTAAAGAATCTAGATGGAGTTCAAAGGAAAATTAAAATAATTTTTAACTAATTATAATAAATAACATATCCACAAATATGCTATAAATTAAATTAATGAAAATCTTTCAAATTTCCGCATATTCGAATAAAAATATTAATTTATTTTAAGAATATCGATTACAATTTTATATTTAATCTTATTCGAGTTACATTCTATTTTATATTATAACATACAAACATA